TGAAACAAAACGATTTCAGACCAGAGTGAAGTTGCCTGCCCGAGTGAATAAGCGAGGGCTGGCATCACTCGGTCTGAAATCGTGTTTCATCCCGCGTCACACATTATATTTTTTATATAAGTTGCATTAAAAATGCTAGTTTTAAAGTCGTCCCAGTGAGAGTTTGGACCTCGGGTCTTTTCGGAGGAATTCCCCTTCCATCACAATTAAATGTCTGGAGCCAACCAGAACTAGATAGTTTCAGACGAATAGCGAAAATACCATTTTATTATAAAACTTATAATAAAATAGAAAGTAATAGTTTATTTTTTATCAAACATTATTCGTAAATTGAATAATTTTCTTTTGTCATTCGTATTTATGTTTAATAACAGAATTATAATATGTCAGTACAGTTAACGGTTAGAATGACAATTATAAAGGTATAAAATAAACTAACAATTGATAGGATTGAAAATAAAGCTGCAACTTCATCACGCGGGCAGGAATTCGTCATTTTCTGTCCGCCGGGAAGGAATGATTGATTCCTGCCCGGCACAGTCGCATTGGTCTGAAATTGTCTAGTTTCGGTTGGCTCAACAGGCATTGAAACTCGCATTTTCAATGCAGGTTATATGAAAAGAAAATAACCAATTTTATCATTTGAACAGACACTATCCATACAATTACAGTAAATATTCTTCTTTCAATTAAGATAGTTCTATCGTGGTTTATAGTGTAGTCAAAGCATTTACTATTGACGGAAGGTTGAGGGTAGGCCGTAGTAAATGTATTTTCAGGAATTTTATTTTTTTAATTAAGTTTTAAATAAATTTTGAAATCAAATAAAATGAAGTTTTCGAAAAATAACATGTCTAGCTATTACGGAAGCTTTATAATAGTTCATTTAACAATTTTTTCAAAAAGTAATTGAAAAATAGAATTTCTAAAAATAAATTACTACGGCTCAGCTTGACTATTATTGTCAAATCATTATATACCATAGAAATACCACTTCAAAATGACCAAAAAAATGTTTAAATTATTATGTCTTGACAACAAAACGATAAAAAGCTACTTTTTTTTAATTAATTTATCAAAAAAATATTCTTTTTTATTCTGCTAGTTTTTTTTCCAATTCTGTTGAGGAATTTTTTAATATAACAGAGAACATTTGGGTAGTAAGAGAATTTTACATGCTTTAAATAAGAAGTAGGCTTGGAAATCGCAAATTTTATTATTGAATATCTTACATTCTAAAAATCAATAACTGGTGTTATGACATACTTCTTATGTCCACTTTCCTACGATTTTCAAATTAATTAAATTATTCTCAAACCGTGAAAAAAAACATTGATAAAATCTGTCGAAAAGTGGTTTCGCGGAGGAATTACTTTAAGTAAAATACTATAACCTAATACTTCTGGTTTTAAAAAAGAGGGGGATTAACGAAAAGATTAATTTTATTGTGTAAGAAGGGTACAAGCTTTCCACGCTTTCTTTTCAATAAATGAATTTTCTGTCAATCATTCTATTCTTGTTCTAAATTTTTTGAAAATTATTTCTTATCTTAGAGTTTGATTTTCTATAAGAGCGTTTTTTTTTTTTGTTTTTGTAAACTATAACCGTTTCAACGTTGGTTTATCACGTTTTAAAAGCTCTGTCCAAAGATAAACTCCAAAAAAAATTTTTTAACATGTCGCTCGAAAAAATTTTTTATTGAGCTGATTTTCGGAAAAAATGATAAAACATGATAAACTGACCTATTTTCGTAGGAAATGACGAAAGAATATTTAGTTTTTTTACATCAACATAATGTGTGACTTTGATCAAAGATATCGATTAAAATTTTTTTTTTATTTCAATTACTATGCAATAAATAATCCAATTAATACGTAAGAATAAGTTGAAGAGATCATAGAATTTGTAAATGATATTAAAAAAAGTTGTTTTTTTTTTTAATAATCTTTTAATAGAGACAAATATTAAAATTTATATCTTGATTTAACCCTTTTCCGATCGGGAGTCTCCAAGAGTATTAATGTAAGTTTTATGGAAGTAAAACCAATTACAGTCTTTTGTATGGTGGTGAGAGTTATAGTTCAGCGGTTGAAGTGTATGCATGCTCTCCCTATCCTTTTTTCAGCCCCTTGCTCACTGAACAGACTACAACCCTCTCACTTTAAGAACAAAAGTCTTGTTAAAATCCTCGATTTAAACTAAGAATAACCATTCAAATTCAATCAGGAAAGGGTAATCATTTTTAACCTCAGTAAAGTTGAAGGATATTGATAGATGTCAATAAAAGTTTTGAATTTAATTTTTTTTATTTCCACGTGCGTTGCGTGCACACAGAGATCGGTGAACATTGAATTATTTCAATGTTTATTTGTAACAATAAAGTAATGATGATCAAGAGACGATTATGATCAAATGGAAAAATAAAAGTATATAAATTATAATTTAACATTATTATATATATATTTGTTTTTTTTTTTTTTTTTTTATAATCTGTTTTGCTGTATGATTGTAAAAATTGACATTTTATTAATTCATTTATTTTTTTTGTCTATTATAATTTACATCAGTTTTGTCACAGTGACATCAATAAAATGTATTATTATTTTAAAAATTTACTTTGTTAAAATAATTATCGCAGACGAAGATGAATAAAATTAGTAAATATCTATAACGAAGCAGAGCAAAAGCTTCAAATCATCGTTACTTTAATAATTAAAACTTACTTTTTTTTTATGCAATAATAAACTCTCTAGTTGCAATTAAATCGCTGGAATTGCGGGCATATCTTGTAGTTATTTTTATTCAAATGTTTAATTACAATTGTATGAATAGAAAAAATGTAAATCTGCTACTTTTTGATTGATAAAAAAATTAGTAATGCAAACTAAAGCTAAATTTTAATTTATTTAATCAAAATTAATTTTTTTTATCTTAATACGAAAATGGTTTTTTTTTTCGTTTTCGCATTTTACTATACAGCTTGAACATATTTTTTATTTTATTTATTTATATTTTAAGATGTATCAGACAGGTTAGTCAAGATCAAACGATATTTAAATAACTCGATAAAAGTTATCTATCATTGCGATAATACTTGGTAAACATTCAGGATTTCAGTACCATACTTACAATAACTCCCTATAATACAATTTAATTGCAAATATTGTTTTTTTTTTTTTTTTTTTTTTTTTTGTCAAATTTAAATAAAATATAGTAAAACGGATAAATATTTATAAATACTATTTTCCTTAATCTTTATCTCATTCCATCACTCATTACATGTAATTATTTTTTTTTTCCTTTTTTTCAATATGTATACAGTATTACATGTATTTTAACAATTATTTATTTCACTCAATTGTATGTATATAAATATAATATAAAAAATTTAATTACATTACAATTTGATAAAACCTCATTACTTAAAAAAGAAAAAAAAACACAAGTAAAATTTATATAAACATAATGAAAATGATTAAAAAGAATTTTTAATAATTAATTCATTTTACAATTATTTTGTGCACTTACAGCAAAATTTAAATAATATAAGAAAACAATAGTGAAAATTGTACAACTAATAAATCCGAAATGGAAAAAAAATAAATAAATAATTTTTTGAATTAAAATCTCATTGTAACACTTTTAAATTTAAATTAATTATTTCTTCTATTAATTAATTAATTAATTAAATCTACTATATTTACAATTTACTTTTTTTTTCTCTGAAAATCCTGAATCTTTACTCGTGGACCTTACAGCTGTAAGTTATTCTGCGTAATTTTGTTGTTTTCTTTTTTATATGTTTTCTCCAGTCTTGAGAAATATCTCGGGCAAATCGAACAAGGCACACACACATTTAACTGAATTTTTTATTTTTTTTATTCATCAGCTTTTTTTTAAATTTACCAGAACTCAAGTGTCGTGTGTGTAATAAAATTTTAGCTCTGAATTCATTAGAGATATCAATTATCGTTATAATATTCTCTGCAATTTCGATTGAAATCAAAATTGTAACCCTAACGATGATAAAAGCATACAAGCTATTCATTATCTACCATTTTTTATCTACAATAGATTTTTGGTAATTATATAGAAGCGGGGTTTTACCCATTCCAGCCATGAAGAATAAAAAAATTCACTTATTCTCGTTTCTTTAGTTCATTTTGTTTCACTCTCCGATAGATTAATGATAACAAAAAATTCGATTTCAAAAAAATTGATTTCCATCAACATTTTTTGAATTTGAAAAGTCCTAAAATTGAAACTTTTAATTTAGATCAACAATTTGAAGATAGTGCATCGACTTGTCAGTATATTTATTATACTTTCGATGCACAACATAGAAAAAAATATATGACTGTTGAAAAGTCGAACCAGTTTTGATCTTTAACTCATCAAAGAGTAGAACATGAAAAGAAAATAGTGGATATCTTCATTTTTCTATTTTTAATGACTAAAAATAAGTAAAGTCCCGTTTTTATATAATTAATTAATAGATTTTTAAATATATAATTTTTTTGTTATTTTAATTTTAATAATATTTTAATCCGTTGTATTTTACCATCATCATTTATTAAATAACTTATTGTTTAAAATAGCGCAGATGCACATTTTATTTTTTTCTCTCTTAGTTATAATTTATAATCATTCATTTGTATTATCCTTATCACTATGTTCTTTATTTCAAATCTTAATATCGTCGGTAAAATTAATTTCTTTAGTATTGAATTATCAACCCATATCATGTCAGCGTGAAAAAAGTAATATAATAATATTTAAAAACAACTTAACTAAAAAGACTTGTCACAGTCTCAGTTAGCATAAAAAGAACTGACTGACTGACTAACTGACTAAAATTTTTAGTCGCTCATTAAATCGCGTTTCAGTGAAGTTGTATGAACTAAATAAATAGATTCATACAAAACAGCATTAATAAATAATGTTATTGTATAATTTATCATTATCATTTTATGTTCATTATTTATTATTATTAAACTACGTTACTGAAGAACGCAGCATTTGCACTTAGGCTTTTTCTTCAGAGTCACGTGCTCGACTTGAGACGCATCCCCAGGACCCTGTGCTGTTACTCTGCTGACCTCCACGGTCGCCGTGCTCGTTGTTGAGCCGACCTGATAAAACGAAATAAAAAAAAAAGAATTAATAATTTCATTCAAGAAATAAAAAAAAAATTTTTTTTAAAGTTTGGTAATTGTTTGAAAATGGGGTCTCACTTTTACAATAAAATATTGAAAAATAACCATTTTCAGACATCTTCGAATTATTTTATTTTTTAGCGGATCTATTAGATCAATCATTAAAATAGTTAGAAATAAAATTTTCAGTTAGTTTTTAAGTTTTCAATAGAAATAAAAATTTTATATCGACTAAAAATTATTGTACAAGTAAAAACAAACAATTTATAAGCTTAAAGAATTAAAAATATCAATCTTTAATTATTCTATAATTTTTTGAAATTATAAATTAAAAAATAAAAATTTTAATGTTAAAAAAATTGTTTCAATATCATTTTTAGAGGTTGAAATATTCTGGACCCTAGTTTCAAATAATTACCAAAAGTTTAGAAAGTCCACAAAAGCACACCTCAAACGCTTCTGGTAATTTTGCAATAAAATTAAATAGAATAATGTTCAAATATGAAAACAATGTTTTTACATTGAGGTTTTTTTTGTATTATGGCTCAGTACGCCGGTGCTTGGCGAACAGTGTTCTATGTCATCAGCTTTGATATTAATATTTTAACTGCCTATAAATAAAAAGGATGTTAATAAAAATTTTTGATAAGGTTTAACATGATACAATCCTGAAAATGGAGAAAGAAAAAGAAAATCTATTGGTGAATTTTTTTATAAAATATTGTGTTTGCACACATACACCACAAGCGATAGATCAGAAAACACTAAGGAGATTTAAAATAGATCCGATAAAACGTTTTTGATTCCCATCTTGAACAATTTAAAAAAGACCATTCGGGAGTCGAAATGGAAGTAAATTTCCCAAGTGGAATTTCCAAAATTTCTGTTCATACTTATTTCAGTACAAAAGTTTTTTTTTATCATGAGTGGTTCCGCAGTTATTCCCGAAAACACTTCAAAAATCATGAATTTATAACATTTGCTCTAACGATTTCATTTTTTGAAATATACTTGAATTCGACATTCGATCATCGACCTATAGAATGTAAAAAATTATAAAAAAAATCAAAATATATTCGGAAATGAATGCAATAGCAAATTTCATAAAATAATATTGACCGGATGAGGTAATTTGAGGTCTAAATATACATTCGGATATGGAAATTGAATCTTATTTGAAAAGCTTTCAGATGCAATTATCAAAAATCCGATAAGATATCGCATTCAAAAGTTATTCAAGGAAGAAAGTGAAAAAATGTGAATTTTTAGGGTTTTAAAAATTTGGACATCCCGTCATTTCTAAACTTTTTGGCCGATTAAGCTCATCTTTGAATTTGATCTTGGTATTTATCAATAGAACGTGGTATATAATATCGATATATACATACATCAAATTTTGAAACATATGTATTTTTTGAATTAGCTCGACAAACCGAGTGGGAAAATGGCAAAATTTTTCGAATTTTCTGTCATGAGGACTAATGCAATAGATAAATTTCTATGGAATCTACTAAAAAATATCACATCTATTTTAATCAACAGAGCTCTAACTAGTATTCAAACATTCATGGATTAAGGAAAGAGGTGCTGCAATATCGACGGGAGGTAATCAATACTTAACAGGTAACTCGACTTTTATTTAAACTCTTTGAATGTATTCATATGTTTATTACTAGCGTTGATAGATACAATGCATTCTTTGCACAGAAATTCATTCGAAATCTCACCTCATGAGATTTGGTTATGAATAACTTTTATATTTTCTGGACTCCTTATTCGACGGATAAAAAAAAATCATAAAATATATTTTTGTGGGTAAAACAAGTTCATTATAAACTTATTTATTTAAAAATATGAATTTAAAAATGAAATTCATAATGAGATAAAAATTTTTTCGTGTATTGCAGCACTTGTTTCCAACAAAATATAAATTTACTTTAAAAGTAAACGAGACGATTCAAAATGAGAATACTTAATGATTTTGGTAACAATAGAGCGTAATTAACACATTGCGCTTGAGGTATGTAATCCAAATACTTAGATTAGATAATAAATTCCGAGAATTTAGTGTGTATGTGTGTGTGCGTGTTCAGTATATGTTTTCTATGTCTAGCCTCTAATACGCGTGATGATGATAATGTCTTAGATGGAAAAGATCAGTGTCTTGAGAGTGCACCTTTTTCTCAAGGTTGGAAAGGAGAGTTTAAACAACCAAGTTTATTTCGCACGGCTGTTCGTTAGTGGATAATGGAAATGACGTTGAGTCACCTTCTCGCTAACGGGCTGCTTATTGACGCTGGAATTCACGTTGCCATGGAGGTTCCCATTCCCTTGATTCGTCCGTTCAGATGTTGATGTCTTCAGCAATGGACTAGTACTTGAGTCGTGATCGTCGATTGTTTTGCCATCACATCCTGGTAATGGGGGTGCAGTTTGTCCTGGTGTTGGGGTTATAGGTTTTCCGCCTTTTATCAGTTCTACTATCTCGTCGGCTTCTCGGGATAAATCTCCGTCTGGCCTAAATGGGTTGTCCCACCCACTATCCGTACTGTAATCAAATATTTTTATCATTAGTATTATTTTCATTACATTTATAGCTTAAACTTTTCAAAATGAACATCAACATTTACATTTTTAACAAATTCTGAGTATTCGGTAAAATATTCATCCAATAACTGTATCAGTTATGCTAAGGTTAAATATGAAAACGTTTACAACTCAAAGGATTTCATTTTAACTTTAATTCATAATTTTTAACTTCCCGCTAAAAAAATTGAAAATTTTTTAAAATTCGGGAAGTTATTGGTTTCACCCCGTTTTGCAAAAATCGAGTTTTCATAAAATCTCGATGTTTTGAGGTCTTAGGAAGCTTTCCTGACTATTCTCGCGATGGTGTCCGTGCGGCTGTGTTTATATACATGTGTGTGTGTGTGTGTGTGTGTGTGTGTGTGTGTGTGTGTGTGTGTGTGTGTGTGTGTGTATATATAAACCTCTTATAACTTTTGAACGGCTTGACCGATTGGATCAAGATAGGTGGCGATCCAAAGAGTATTATTGCCATTACATTTCGTAAAAATTGGAATTGATTCGGTTCGCTAGATTTTGAGAAATCTCAAAAATAAAATTTTCAATAAAATTTTTCTTTGGAATAACTTTTAAATGGCTTGACCGATCAATTCTAAAAACTAATCCGCTCTTAAGCTCGAAAAACCACGTCGATTGCTACCAGTCCCGTCAAAATCGGTTGATTCGTTCAGGACCTATCGAAAACGAAAAATTTCGAAAAAATTTTTTTTTTTTACATAACATCGATTTTTCTTTTTGGATTGTTTTTGATGAAATAAAATAATTATCAGACCCCAAAAAAACCATGTCGATCGCCGCCAAGAACGTGAAAATCAGTTGATTGGTTCGTGAGTTGTCGAAAAAAGTGAATTTTTCAAATTTCTCCGAAGTTTTCGGTTTGATCGGTTGGTGTTCAAAAGTATATTATAGTATTTAAAAAACTGGGTGGAATGCTGCTAACCGCGTGAGAATCGGTTCATTCATTCAGAAGTTATTGCGGTATGAAAATTCAAAAAATACTGTTTTAGTAAACTTTTATCAGATTTTTGAGCTCGAACAGCTCAAAACTTAGAGCAGCTAACTCTTTGAGCTCGGAGAGCTCAAAATAATACAAATTATATTTTTGAGCTCGAAGAGCTTAAAAACGTCATAAGTTCAATTTTAAGCGCTTAGATATGGAATTAGCGGGAAGTTGCAGGGATGGCCTTTAGGGTCAACCGTTTTGCAGATTGTTTTTTTCTTTGATGAATGAAATCGAAAATTTTTTGTCAAAGTTCTACATCATTCCCGGTGAATAAATTTTATGATATGGTCGTATATGCCCATATGTAATTTTTCGACCGAAGGTAGTATTGAAAATCTCCGACGGGCGCACGATCGCTAAATCGTCTCCTAAAAGAGATTTACATTTGAAGTTCTCTAAAATAAAAATCATTTTTTTTACTCTCCTAAGAAGCTGATCTGACATTGATTTTTAGTTTAATCAACTACTCAACCGATTTTGTTTAATACCACATGCTAATTAATTGACGTGAACATTTCTATAAAAAATGAAAAATTATGATAATTCATTTTTATAATATGATATATAACCATGGTAATCTGCAAATTAGATTATCTCATAAAATTTTTTCAGGTGCTTGTCAATTAAAAATTTAACTAACAAAATCGATTCGATCCAAAAAATATATATTCGTCTATTTTTTACTCGTATTTCAAAATAGTTCTCATAAATCAGGAAATTAATTCTTGAATCATTAAATTAAAACTCTTGGATACAGAACGAAAAATTCTCCATCCAAGAAATTTATCTTCAAACGAAGTATTTGATTGTTTTCAAACAAGATACACATAGATTTCGTTCAAGATTTTTTTTTCCAGCTAAGATTTGTCTTCAAAATTAGTTTCTTGAATCAACATAGTCTTTCTATTAGCGTATAAAAACCTCAAGTAAATAAAATAATAACAAATCAACTTATTGTTTGTGTAAATTTATTCTGATGTTTGTATTTGTAAATAACTGAAACTTTCAGTAGAGGTCACTTATTTTAAATTAAAACAGCTCTTTCGACACTAATATTTAAATGAATCACATTGGAAGAGCTTCAAACTCATCATTTAAGACTTTCCACGATGATGTTATGAATTTAATTATATTTCAGTTTATTACAAAAGTTTTATGAACAATACAAGGTAACTTAATCAGTAGAAAAATTTTATGCGATAATAAACCACATAGTACTTCCGTGCTTGAGATGTACAATATTGCTTTTAAAAAACTTGTGTCAATAGCTTTTGGAGTAGAAGTGGTGCTTAAAGTTTTTTTATTGTACAAGACTGAAAACTTTAATTCTGGTATCAAAGATTTTATTTAAAAAAAAATACCCTTAAAAAAAATAACAAAATTTTGTGACAGCTTACTTGTTCGAAAGTATGAGATATTTACATGATACTTAGAAAGCTATTAGCAAAAAAAAAAAAGTAATATAGTTTAATAAGAAAATATAATTCAAAAACTAACGGTTACTTAACGATAATTGTATATAAGATGACGTGTTGAAAAGGAATGATCGTTACATTAATTACAGCTATTGAAGAAAGAGGTTCTCATTCAAATAAATCATCACTAACGTTTATTTAATTTATTTTTTAATGCTTAATATAATAACGTATTATAATTTAATTATATTTAATGTATTTAATATTTTTTGTAACTTTTAACCTTTGTTTTCTCATAGTAAAAAGAGATATTTGTGTCTCTATTGGTTGAAAGAATTAAAGACAATAAAATTTGATGAAATAAAAACTTTGTTTCTTTAAAAGAAGCTTTTTTTTTTGGCTCAAGGTTCTCCAAATTTGAAAGGTAGAAAGCCCGGTGTTTAATGAAATAATTAAGGTGATTCAACTCTAAAGATGAACATTTTTAACTTTATTCCTGCGGAGTAATCTTTAAGTTAAGCATTGAAAAATTTCTACTTAGAGCAAAAATACAAAGATCTCAATACAAGAACTTATAAGCCAAGAAAATAAATGCTTGAAGCAAGACAATCAGATTTTTACTAAACAATTTTTTTGCTACAAGCTATATAATTGTCTCAAGAATAGTTTGAATTAACCGAATTGAACAATATTATATCGTGAAATTAAATTCGAAAAAAAAGTTTTAAGTAATTGCGAAAATCATTTGATGTTTTTCGATAAAAATAAAAACAAAGCTATTTTAAATTTAGTATTCTGAAGGTGTGGCTGAACAGTGAGTATAAAAGATGTCATTACTATATGCAATTATGTCTCGGTGACCATGACATTACACCGACATTGAATCGAGTCTAATTGTGTACTTGCAAGTATAGAGAAAAGTAAATGAGACAATATGTGAACTCGTATCTAGTTACATGAACTTGGTGTATACTTTATGATTACGTCCATTGTGTACGTATTACAATCTACATAGTGATGTAATTAAGAGGGCTTTTTTCATCGCATTGTTAATAAACTCAGCTTAATTGAAATAACAAGGAAATGAGAACCGGCGACGGACAGAAGGTTAGGAAGAAAATTTACAAATTTTCTTACTGATTTTCAATGTTCAGTGTGTTAATAAACACGCTACGCTTGAAAGGTCAATTTCTGTTATCAATCCAACCACTCCCAGCATCCGCAATACAGGTACTGTAAAAACAAATACACTCATACATATATTTTTATGTTATTTTATCTCATTGCCACTCCTTTATTACTGGCTATTGAATTATTTATGTTTGTTTTCTTTTTTGCAATCAATGACATTAATTCATTACTTCCTTTCTATTTCATTATTCGTAATCTTTTATCTATCCAAGGCTTTTTTTGTTTATCACCGGTTTAATGAGATATTAACACAGAAATTGATAATCTAATGGTCAAATGAGTTTAATCGAATGATGAAAAAATCTTCTTATGTCCTGATATTTTAATGGTAACAGAATTTCCTTTCAAGATAATTAATAATCAACCACTAAACAAATTTTTGTTTTATACGACATACCAATTGACGTACACATTTCTAGAAAAAAAAAATTAAAAAGTTATAATAAATAATTTTTTTATTCTCATAGTAAGTATCCTGATATGAAAATTGGCCATAGATAGAATGCTAGATAAGAAAATTTTGTCATGGGTCGTAAATAATCTTTAAGTAAAATAACGTTTTGAATAGATTTTAAAATCAATTACGCAAAAATTAAGTGATATGAAAAGTTAATCTAAGCAATGGTGTTTACTTGCTTAGATAAAGTTTTTTTTTATGTTTCTAGCGGTAAAAAAGAAAAAAAAATCCAGAATAAATGATACTCTAAGATTGCAGGAAGGGAAGGGGGGGGGGCAAATGGGGTACCCCCAAAATAACGTAGAAAAATTTCTTTTTCCTAAAAGATCTAACAGTTTTCAAAATATATATTTTAACGTCATTTAAAAAAAAAAATTAAATAATATTTTTTTTACAGTAATTTTCATCGGCATCGTGAATCATAATAAATTTTTTTTTTACATCTAAAATTAATTAATGGATAACTTATTGAAAAATCACGATAAAAATTTTTTGACCACGTATTATTGTTCATTGATCTATCCCGCAGGCGCCTGAATTTTTTCAATTTTTAATTTTCATATTTAATAAGTTTAAATAATATTTATTCATTAAAGCTCCGAAGGTGGCGTGGCTTGCGCAACCCGGAGTATCCGTTTTCGGACGTATTTTCATCCCTTTGGGAAAATTATAAATATTAGTCCTACAATTCCGGGAGTTGGAACTTTTTTTTAGGAAATTTCTTCCTTTTTTTGAATCTTTTTTTAAATTTGAAAAATCTTCATTAGTTTTTGAGATATTTGCAAAAAACTAAACCCTTTTTTTTTTAGTTAATTGTTAATAACTTTTGCAATTTTTGCAAGCGAAACTTCATTTTTTTCGAAAATCATCTAGATGCTATTCTGAATCGAATGACACCTCAATCATAATTTTCGGAGACTGCTGAAAATAGTTGACCAAAAAGGCACTTTTTGACTAGACTATAAGCGATCACGCAGTATACTGTGTATGCTAGCTACACACAAGTACACACACACACACAAGTACACACACACACACACACACACACACACACACACACACACATATATACAGACGTACGGACATCATCGTAAAAATAGTCAGGGAAACTTCCTGTGACCTTCAAACGTCGAGATCTGATGAAAACTCGATTTTTGTAAAACGGGGTGAAAACAATAACTTCCTGATTTTCGAAAATCTGAGATTTTTAGCGGGAAGTTAAAAATAATATTCAGCGTATTGTAGTCCCCACAAACCTAGTATTTTCTTAAGTACCCCGTTTTGCCCTCCACCCTCTCCTTTAAAGCGTTTGGTTAAAAAATAAAGAGGGCATAATGACACAGATTTGAAAAGTCAAGGGGTTGACGACCTTGCTAACAATTGGATGAGGGTTGGCCTCGTTACTTTATCGTCCTACTCCGATATCTATTTTCACTATAAGAATGCCCATTTAGATATGAAAAAAAAAATGGAATGTTTTCTTAAAGAATTTACAATACATGATAGACGACTGAAAATTATTTTATGGGTACAGTTCATAATTGTGTAGCAAATTCGATCTGAATTTTCAATGTTAACTCAATTTATAATTTTGTTAAAATAAATGTTGAAGACCATTATTAAAGAAAAATTTTTACAGACAAATGTAATATCAATTTAAGAATTCTTTTATGATTTAATGTTTTTTTAAAAAGTTTTTTCAGAAAAGTTGAAAAGAACATACCTTAAAAAAAATTTTTTTATATTAATCGAATAAAAAGTAAATATATGTATTGGAGGTAATAGAAAGTAATAAGTTAAGATCAAAGTCATAATTTATTTGATAAGAAAATTTAAGAATAAAAATCCAAACAAAATACAAGAGGTCAGAAAAATAAAAAAAAGTTTGGAAAATCCAAAAGTGCACGCCTCATAATGCTCATTTATTTTTTAAGAAAAAAATCAATTGTGTAATTGATTAAAAATAAAAAATTATAATTAAGTAATTTCTTGCAAAGTATTTTTTATTTTTAACTTCCCGCTAAAAATCTCAGATTTTCAAAAATCGGGAAGTTATTGTTTTCACCCCGTTTTACAAAAATCGAGTTTTCATCAGATCTCGACGTTTGAAGGTCACAGGAAGCTTCCCTGACTATTTTTACGATGATGTCCGTACGTCTGTATGTATGTGTGTGTGTGTGTGTGTGTGTGTGT